GGCCTCCTCTGGACTCGCTCCAGTGGGTCCAAATTCCCCCAGGAACTGCTGCTTTGCCCACGAGATGCCATCATCCAGCCCCAAAATGATGTTTCCAAGGGGGGAAAAAATGATGTTTCCCCAAACTGTTCCATGGGGGTTGGAACTGGATGATCTTTAAGGTCCCTTCCAACCCAAACCATCCTATGACACTGTGATCTCCCAGCGCTGCAGCAGCACCCCAGCCCTGCACCCTGCTCCTGGGTCCCTGTGTGGCTGGGCTTGCCCAGCTCATCCTTCTTCCTCTTCCTCCTGGTTGAAGTTCAGCACTTGGTTCATAAACCAGTTGGGTAGGAGGAAGGGAGCCCTGCCCCAGGGAGGAATGCGGGCAGAAGCCAGGATGGGTGAGATGGCGCCAGGTTTTCCCTGGGGACAGTCCAAACCCCCTCCAGGGCACCCATCCTGCACCCCTCAGGGCTGGGCCCCACCTCAGAGTCCTTTGCAGACATGAAGGGACCTGGGAGTCCAGCCCCACGCAAGTCTGATCTCAGTTCTCTGATTCTCAGGTGTAACCCAAACCTGTTAAAAATCCACCAAATAAAGTGAAGATCCCTCCATCCCTAGATCTGCTGTTTGCCTTGTCCCACCTCCTGTCCCCAGGGAGCAGTTCACCCCCTGCAGAGTCAGAGAACGGGAACAGGCTGACTGTGCTTCCCAGCAGGGATATGGCCCATGGCCGGGGCTCACGCTGACCCCACAGAAAACCACCCGGAGCACCAGAGGCTGCTGCAGGGCAGGAGTTAATCCAGGGGCAGGGAGTGTCCATCCTCTGAGAGGCTGGTTAGGATCATGGGAACATCGAATGTTGTGAGCTGGACCCACAAGGGTGATGGAGTCCAACTGCTGTCCCTGCACAGGACAATCCCAACATTCACACCATGTCCCTGAGGGCCTTGGCCAAATGCTGCTGGAATCTTGTCAGGCTTGGTGCCATCAGCACCTCCCTGGGGAGCCTGTGCCAGTGCTCCACCACCCTCTGCCTCAAGAACCTTTTCCTCATGGCCAACCTCCCCCTCCCCTGCCACATCTTCCTGCCATTCCCTCTGCTCCTGGCATTGGTTGGTGGCCAGAGAGAAGAGATCAGCGCCTGCCCCTCCTCTGCCCCTTGGGAGGAAGTTCTAGACCCCCAGGAGATGTCCTCTCAGTCTCCTCTTCTCCAGGCTGTTTTCATCCCTTGGCTCCTGCTGAGCTCCTCGCGCTCACCCATCCCGCAGTGCTGCCAAAGGAAACTGCTCTTAGAAATCCACTTTATTTGGTCAAAGACAATTCAGTGACATTCAGGAGAATGTGAAAGCCCAGCACACCCCCGAGCGGGGCGATACCTCTGCAGCCACCGAGCAGCCACAGACCTCGCTCGCCCTGTGGCTTCAAGCACCTGGACAGCACCTCGGAGCCGGCGCTGCGGGGTCAACGAGTGCAGTTCATGGAGAGCGAGGCCAGATCAGCCCTTTTCGGGCTGAGGGGACGTACCTGAGCTCAAGCTTCTGCTGCACAGCGGCGCTGGGGTTCCCTCTGGTACCAGCACCCCCCAGCCGAGCCCAGCGCAGCAGAAGTGGGGACTGAGGAGTCCATGAGCTCCAGCTGGGTTGAGGGCGGCTGTTCTGGCACGTCCCCAGCGCAGCAAGAGAAGCAGCAAGGCACCCTGCACCCTGGCAGGAGCAGAACTGGTCCCAAGCCCTGTCCTCTCCAGGGCTGGAGCCACCCAAGCAACGCTGGAGTCCTCTGGAAGTGGCACAGGACAGGGCGCAGCCAGTCCCAGCTGCTGCTTGGCTGCAGACAGTGGTTTTATCCCTTGAGAGAAGGAGGCAGCTCAAGGTCACCCCTGACCAGCTCCTCTCAGTCACTTCCCTTGGCTGGACAGATCAGGAAAAACAGAGGAAGAAGAGTCACCAGATGCAGGATCTGGGCAGGGGGAGGGAGCAGGACAGGGGGACACGCAGAGTGGGCAACTGCTGCAAATGCTGCCCTGGTCCCTTCTGAGCCTGGACTGCAGGGACGGAGGGGATGATGGAGAAGAGATTGCAGATGTTGGAGCCCCTGCAGCAGCCACGGCCGTTTCCTGGTGACGAGAAGATCCTGGGGTCTCTCCAGGGACCATCCCGCTCAGTTGATGGGCTCGTACTCAGAGTAGCGTTTCCTCTGGGCAAAGAGGACCAGGCAGCTGCCCACCAGGAGCATCACCATGGGGGTGCCCAGTGCCACAGCCATGATGGAGATGACGAGGGGGGAGAAGGTGTCCTTAGGGGGCTGCCCAAAGCCCAGCAGTGCCGACCTGCAGGAGGGGATGAGATAAATCAGGCATGGAGATGGGGATCAGCTGTGTCCCACGGCTGGAGTATCTGGGGCTTTCTACGCCAACAGGGTCAGAACAAGATTTCTTGGCAGGAAGAAGGGTCAGGGGAGGGTCTCCTGAACTGAGGTGTGAGGGAGTCATAGAACCATGGGATGATTTGGGTTGGAAGGGACCTTAAAGCTCATCCAGTCCCAACCCCCCTGCCAGCAGCAAAAAGCTCAAAGCCTCATCCAACCTGGCCAAGAACACTTCCAGGGAGGAGCAGCCACAGCTTCTCTGGCCAACCTGGGACACTGTCTCACCACCCTCTGGGTGAAAAATTTCCTCCTAATATTGAACCTAAATCTCCCCTCTCTCAGTTTAAAACCATTTCCCCTTGTCCCATCACTCTCTGCCCACGGCAAAAGTCTCTCTCCCTCCTGTTTCTAAGCTCCCCTCAGGTACTGGGAGGCCACAATGAGATCTCCCTGGAGCTTTCTCTTCTCCAGGCTGAACAAGCCCAGCTCCCTCAACCTTCTTTCAGCAGAGAGGGGCTCCAGCCCTCTGACCATCTTCCTGGCTCTCCTCTGGCCCCGCTCCAACAGCTCCACATCGTTCTTGTGCGGGGAGCTCCAGGCCGGTGCACAAGACTCCAGCTGGGGCCTCCCAAGGGCAGAGCAGAGGGAAACGCGTCAGTAAACTGCAAAACTCCTCGTAGGAGGATCACGGGAACACAGAGACTTCTGAAGGAAGTTGGTTATTAAACAGAGAAACCCTCTCACCCAGCAGCTCCCCAGACTCCGAGTCACTCATGGCTGGGAAGAGCATCACTTCATACACAACAAACCCCACTCACCAGCTGAGGTAGCGCTTCTCCTGGTAAACCTTCCCCTCCTCTCCCCCAAAAGAGATGTTGATGGCGCTGATGGTGTAGGTGCTGCCAACACCCTCCCCAAAGTAGGCGTGGACAATGGTGGACCTGGGCAGGCTCCAGTTGGCTGCTTGCAGACCATGAGAGCGGCACTGGATGTTGTCCTCGCGCCCGGGGGTCCTGGAGCCGTAGGCTGTCGCCTTCCACTGCAGGAAGCTGAGCGCAGAGCTGTCGTTTTGGGACTCAGCTACCAGGGAGAGCATCTGGTGGCAGGAAAGCAACAGGCAGCGCCGGGAGGGCAGGAGAAGGTTGTCATGCCAGGGTGAGCCACAGGGGGACCACAGGTTGCCCAGGCTGCTTGCCCCAGATCCCCCTCCCCCTCGTTCCTGCAGCAGAGGATGCCCCCAGGCCCAGTGCCCACCCCATGCTCACCTCGAAGATGGTGGGAGTGTACTCGTCGTCGATGGAGCGTGTGGAGCGCAGCTTCTGCATCGCCCCTGTCTCCTCCACTGTGGCCACCTCCAGCGCAAATCGGGAGCCGTTGCCCCGTGGAGCCACCCCAGCCAGGACAAACTCCACTTTAGAGCTGTTTGCTGTGTGCAGGAGGCTGGGCAGGGGCTGGTCACGGCCACTGGCCTCGTAGGCTGTCACCTGCAGGAGACACAGGTCAGTTGATCACCAGTTGGGACACCAAGGAGCAATGTCCCCTCTCCAGAAGGTGCTTTGGACATGATATTCACTGTGTTCTCCCCACAGCATCTCAGCACAGTGTATATCCTGTCTCTGTCCCTGTGCAATGGTGTGGCCAG